ACAAAGAGTATTCTTAGAACTCAAAAACTCTTAAATATCCATCAGTATATTTAAATAACGTATAAAGTCCTGCATTGAACATGATCCCTTTTGCATGTGTTTGAAGAAGTGGGCAGATAATGATGATTTTTGTCATGTTGAAATGATATTTTATGCATTTTTTTATCTATTCATTTATGTTAATTATAACAGTGTAAAACACAACAGGTCTTAGTAAGAAAACAATCTGAGCAGGAATTTTAATGAAGTATTTCATGGAAATTCACCAACCACTAGAAAGGAAAAAAGCTAAAGCAAACATTACTCCAAATTTTACACACAGAACTCCATCAAAATCTCACTACCAATCTTAATTTTCAATTAAGAAGGAAGAGAAAGGAAGAAAGGAAGGAAAGAAGAGGGAAGGAAGGAAGTTTACTTATGTGACATAAACTTTCTTTACCAGTATATTGGTTAAAGCTATTAATTTCATACTTCTATGTGGTATATGAATAAATGTATAAAGCATTCATGCAAGGATTTTGATTTTTTAAATATGGTATTTATATGGTAGTGTACTAAGAATTATATATTACTTAATAGATTTCTGTGTATTTTGTATGGTGGTGTGTTTAGATTTATCCAAATTATAAATGCAACTTCCTAATCTCCATGCTTGAGCTAATCGTTATAAACCTTCCTTCAGAGGGGATTCAGCTCTGAAACAAGTAGGACCCCACCAGTGCCTGGATTAGGGTAACTAAATTGACTAGGATGAGGCAGTGGCCCTGTATAATTCTGGGCAAAGTCAGATATATTCAATGGACAACCACTTCACGTTCAAATTTGTTTTTTCTAAGGATTCCTCCAACTTAGTTACCAATATGTTTTCAGTTATTCTCTAAGGAAAACGAATTGAGGAGAAATAAGTGAAATACTACAGAAAATCGAAGGTAGTGAATGGCACTTAGGAAAAAGACACTTGTTATGTAACAGTAAAGTCCCCCAAAATAACTGTCACAAAGGATGTCCCTTTGCAGTTTGTGGAAGTGCTGTGGCCATGGAGTAGCCCATTGGTCTGACAGGAGACATGGGTCAAGACTATGTGACCTCCCAGGAGAATGATGGCCCTCCTGGGGAGAGAGTCCCCAAAACCCAGGTCCTTGTTTTACTTTTATTTTTCTTTGGCAATGAGAGTATTTTGGAGGTAAAATTATGTAAATCTTAATAACTCAATAAAGCAAACTAAAAAGGGAAGTGACAGAAGAAAAGGATGGGAGGGGTGGAAGAATAAAAGAAAATTAATGAGAATGAGTCAATGTTAGCCTTGTCAGAGTAAATCACAGAATTTGGAAAGGATAAAGGCATCCTAGAAGTATTTCTCCAACACTCTCTTTTTAAAGATGAGGAAATAAAATTCTTGAAGTTGAGGAAATCTGCTTGCATTCACACAGGTCAACTCTAGAAGTTCTGAGCCACTTTTTCAAAGTTTCCTGACATCAAGGACCTTTCTTACAATACCACATAGCATCAGCGTTCAAGGTCATCATAGCTTGTGCCCCTTCCTTGCTTCTATGAGATAACTGCTGGCATCTGGGGTTGCTGTCAGAGTTCTCAAAAGACTCCTACTTTCTATAGTTCTAGTGGTTCCAAGTTCAAGTGATGATGGAGAAGATTCCCATGCACACATTTAATCCACCAACTCAGACCTGTGCAACCAACCAATACAAAAACTTAAATAACACCATTAACAAAAGTGTTATTTCAGTTTGTCAATAAGCAATGTGGCAATGCTTTTAATGGATCATTTAAAGATCACAATAATAAAATGAAATATCTATAATATGTTAAAAGCACCCATAAGTGTTTTTAATAATGTTTTAACATTTTCACATTTATACATAAATGGAATTTTTAAAATTCAGAATAAGAACATTATGAAAGTTGGAAAGGATTATTTATCTGAATTAACCCAATACAACCAGTTTCTTATATAAATGATGAAACTGAGCTCAATAGTAAGCAAGTGGTTCAGAGTCACCCAACTAGGTAGACCCTAAATGAGGATGTCCACCCAGGTCCCCTGTTTGCCCTTTTAGTATGCTCCATGCAGCCACTCTCAAAGTACAAATTAAATCACTTGGATTAGCTAAATGATTCTTGGGAAAGTATAACTGCCTGATTATACACTGAACTTTGACACATTTCACTCTGTTTTCAATTCTTTAAAACTGCCTGGTACATAATAGATATTGAGTCAGTTTGGGTTTCTCTATTCCTTATCCCTTCTCACCACCAAATTTCCATATCAACCACTTTAAGATTGCTAATACACAAAATACATATCATCTCATGAGTCAAGTGGGCATGTTGACAGAGCTACCCAAAGGACACTGGTGGAAGCCAGGGTCTTGACTCCAAATATGAGAATTGGAAGTGTACCCCAAGGTACCCTTTTAAGGGAAGTGGGAATGCCCATGTGGAGGCTGTGAGAACAAATGGAGGTGTCATCATGGAAAAACACTGATAGAGAGGGTTTCATTGATGCTTGAGGGTATATTTCCAAATGTCAAAGTCCTTCTTCCTCAGTTAGATGTGCCTCCTAACAGAAGCTTCCTACTTGTCTGGAGACTTCTTTTGGGATATATGAGCTTAATTAGGATAGAGTTTTTGGATAAGAATGTCAGTAGTTTAAGGGACCCCCAATAAGTTACCTACCTCCCCTGTAAATTATCTTCCAAAAATAAATCTAAGCTAAACCACTTATAATGTCTATTAGCCTTTACATTTAGATGTAACTTGAATCTTAGTTTTGACAGGTCTCTTTAATATAATGAAGCCCTTTTAGTCTTGCTTGGGATTAGTTTACCCCCTAATACATTCCTTCCAACACTATGTTCTGCAAGTCAACAAACAGCTTCCCCTGTGATTTGAGCCTGGCTAACAACAAATTAGACTTGGGAAGATTAATTACTAGGCAGAGGCATTTTCCAGGTGGTACATTCCCACTTTGAGGAAACTTGGTAATTTTGGTCATTTTACTTTTACATCTGTTTGAAGTAAGAAGTCCTTCGATTGAAAATAACACAAGTCTCTGGAATAGCTTTCCCTGTAGCATTGATGTGTGGATCTCTAGACAATATTTTAAGCTGAACTAACACCAAAAACATTTTCAAATGCCATACTTGAAAATCATTTATAAAATTGACAACATATAGAGGGTAGTAAATTATCAGTAAACATTTTTACTAGGTGTTTGTTGAGAACCAACAATGGGTAGCTTTGTGTTATGTGTAAGCCTGTGTAAATCATTAAGAGATGCACTGGGGCAATTATTTTCCCTAAATTCTTGTCTGTCTCTGACACATCTTGGATTTTTCTATCCTTGTCCTAAGAAACTTGGTTTAAGTTAGCGTCCTCTAATTTGCTGACTTATATCACCACTGACTTTTTCTCCCCTTGTTCAAATAAGTCAGTACACTCAGAAATAGAACAACTTACAGTGTCAGGTAAAATCCTTCTGAAGCGGATACACGCTTTGGAGTTACAACTAGTTAACTTTGGGCTTCTACTTGAGACAAAAAGCGACTTCATCTTATTAGAGAAAAGGTCCATCAAGACTTAACTACTGACACTCTGTCTTTGTTTCACCAACCAGGAATAAGATAAAGCAGAGGAAATGGAGGAGCTGCAGTTAGGCATTTGCAACACACAAAGTCCTTGTTTTCTGACTAGGCGCTGCAGAAAAGCAATTGTCCATTCACAGCACATCCTCTGCATTTCAGAACTAATATTTTTGCAGTTCCTAACTTGGCACATTACGGTCTTAGGCAGTTAATTTTGTTAACCCTTTGAAACGTGCTATGTGTTTAATATCTTGCTTAAAATTACTGCTAACATGACCCAGTTTTTAAAATCTCTGGTCCTCAATGTTAAGTAAAAAAACCTTAAAAAAATCAAGAAATTTTTGGCAACAGAGTAATGGTTTCAAATAAAACTTGCTATTGCATAACAAGGAAATCCATGTTAATCATATGGTACTTTAATTGCTTTTGCAAATTTGACTCATTAGAATAGAATGATTTTTAGCAGTGGTCCTTCTCAACACATCATAATAATTACCATTGAAAACAGCACTGTCCTGTCTTTAATTGCCCTCCTTCCTGAAGCAGTGAGTGTGTTTACTGTATAGGAATGCATATGCCCATCTTTCAGGGCAAAGTGGTTGAATCTAGCAATTTAATAGTTTCTCTGCCGAGAGCGCTAAGAACAGAATCTAAGGATGATTAATTAGTCTCCAGGCTCAATCACTTCAGCGTCTAATTAAATTTCTCACTCTACTTTCAACTACTATAGGAAATAATAATTAGCAAATTTGGAAGGATAATAAAATAAGTTTTTATTTTCCTTTGTAAATAACAGTTAAATCATTGATCATACAACTGAGTGCCTGCATCTCCCTCCCCTGCTGATGTCTAAATCCAGACCATTTTTTTAAAACAAGAACAAGGCAACAAAGTACATTTTCCTCAAGTATTCATTTTCTGAAACACCTTCTGTCAGTTTTTCTGCCATCAATTTTAATACCAGCTTTTTGCTCTCTTCTTCTTAATTTCATGTTGGAATCTACTATTAGCCAACACCACAAACTCTAGAAAACAACTAAATTTCTTTTTCCCTCTTCCACAACCTACACCAATCTTTACCAATATTTTCCGATCCTCTCCACCAAAACCAAAAATGCCCCAACTCCAAGATTTACATTGGAGAGAAAATATTGCATTCATTAAAAAAAAAAAAAGCAGTCAGTTAAGTGGGGGCTCAGAGTGTAATGGAAATGCCTGAGTGTCCCATGCAGCAGGGAATGAAGAAGCCCTGCTGCCTTCAAACAGTTAATTCAGGGTAAGTGATCATGTTTAGTCGGTTCGCCCAGAAAAAGGAAGGAAATTCAAAAGCTGGTTGCTGTAGTAACAATCACAGACCCAAAAAAATATAAATGCACAGGTTCATTTTAAATAAAACTCCTGCCCTATCTCTGTGAGTCTGCTCTCTCAAGAAAAATGAGCTTGCCGCTGAAATTGGTTACCTACCTCAACCATTAAACAAGACATTTAACCATAGTGGCAGTTCTGTGACCTTTGAATGCCGTGAAATCTCTGAGCGGTGCTGCTCGTTCATGAAGACGTGTGCTGCGGAATCCAGCAACTTCATCCAGGATTAGGAATATAATTAAGTAAAAAAAAAAAAAAAAGAAAGAAAGAGAAAAAAAAAAAAAGAAACAAAAAAGCACGCAGAGAGCTCGAGTAAGAAGGAAGGTAAGAGTCTCTCGGGTGAGTACACCACTTTTCTCCCAGACAAGCGCTGGGACAGAGCCGAGCTGCTGCAGTGCCCAGACCCACCGACTGGCTGGGGAACAGCAGCCCTCCTGCCAGGCTGGGAGGTGCTGTCAGTTGCCACAGGCAAGGAAAAGCATAGACCAATCAGCTTCAACTCTGGCAGCTTACTGGAGTGGAGCCTTTTCTGTTTATGTTTCCTCATTTCAAGAGTGACGTCAAAGGGTTTAGTTTTTCCTCTGCATGTGCTATTAATTTTAAAGTACTGTACGATGGGAAGAATGTGCATGCGCCGGTGGTTAGCTTGGACTCCCTAATCTCAGGAGAACCCAAGAAACGTTTCTACACACAGGCATAATTTTTTTAAATTTAAAATGCTGCATGGGTTAGGTGTATCAAAAAAAAAAAAAAAAGTTGGGCAAAAAACCCTGAGCTAAATAACAGCAGCAAGATTTATACTTTTTCTGAATGTGAGGGTATGTACATATGCCCACCTCACAGCTGTTGCTTATTTTCAAATTAATTCATTTTTACCCCTACCTAAAAATGAGTTGCTAATTCATCTTTATTGCCACAGATGCAGAATTGCACAAATGAGTTGGTGAACAATATTCTGTACAGTGGAAAATAGACATCATGTTTATACTGCTGATCTCTGCTTTTCTCTCTTTCCTCCAGTTTTGGCTGTAAAGTGTCAGGCTTGTTCCTGCCAGGGAGATCCCTCCTGAAACTCCCCACAGGGAGTCACTCAAGAAGCAGGGCATAGTGATGCACAAAGGTACGTTTGGGGTATCAGCAAGGTGAATAAAGACCTGGTTATTTAGGGATACTTCCTCTATTGGGGGCCCCTGCTTCTCCCTGTGTTTCTCTTCCCACTCTGGAAAATCTCAGTGCCGGCCATCTGTTGTTTCTGCCTCCCCCATATACTCTCCCTTCTCCCCTCACCCCCTTCAGCTAGCAGAACTTTTTTCTTTTGGAAACTTTCCTTTCTCTCTTTCTAGATTGCCTAGACTTTCCCCCAGACCTCAACCAACAGAACTCAAGGGCCATGTGACCCAGCTGGGCCAATCACATTTTTCCATTGCTCTGGGCACAAGAAAAAGCTTTTAGGGGTAGGAACAATACTCAGGAAAAGGTGAGATACCCTTTTCAAATATTTATGCTTCATTGAGAAAGGAGGCATTTTATCTCATTAAGAGGCTGCAGGTTGGTTAAGCAAGCCTGTATATGTTGGGTTCATCTTTGGTGTTAAAGGTTTGTCAGTGACCAAACAAATCTGTTCTCAGATAGTTTACATTCTGGGGGAACAGAAAGGCAAATATGAAAAATAACTAAATGTAAAATATCAGTTGGTTATAAGTGCTTTGAAATAAAGGAAAATAAGGACACAGATTTAGGGGTGTGTGTGTGTGTGTGTGTGTGTGTGTGTGTGTGTGTGTGCAGAATTTCAAGGTGTGGGATGTGAGAGAATGAAAGGAATCAACCAGGGTTCTGACTTGGGCAAACTAGCTTAGAGTTGCTACCTATAGAAGGAGGGTGACTGGGAGAAGAACCTGGCTGGAGGTGAAGTAGAGTGGTTCTTGACCATCATTCGATAGCAACATATATTTCATTGTCTATCTGTATCAGGAACTGTTCTAATTACTGGAGACAAAGCAGTAAACAGCAGCAACAACAACAAAAACAAAGCAAATACAAAATCTCTTACCATCACAAAACTCAGATTTGTCTGATGGTAGACAGACCATGAGAATAAATACAACATTTATATAGGATATTGTATGGTAAGATACTGGGGAGAAAAGATTTTAACAGGAAAGTGTTGCTGGCCATATGGAGGCTTATCATTTTACATTGAATATTCAGGGAGGTCTAGCTGCAATAATGATATCTGAACAAGTCTTAACATTGATGAGGAAATAAGTAGGGAAAGAGCATTACAGTAGGGGAACATCAGGTGTGAGTGTGGTTGTAAGAAAAAGGGAAAGATAATGGATCTAGAAGGAGCAGATCAAGTAGGACTTTCTAGAGCATTGGAAGGACTGAATGAAATGGGGTTTTAAGCAGAGGAGTGAGGTGATCTGACTTACATTTTAACAGAATTACTCTGATAACTGTCTCAAAATCAGGGAGGAAGAAAAGAGGCTAATATAGGATATATATTCATGTTTTAATAAGACAGGGATTATGGCAGAGACAATACAAAATTGTCTCTATTTTGCATTAGAGACAATAGGATTTGTTAGATGGATTGAATGCTGGATATGAGGGAGGGAGATTAGTGAAAAGAGTCAATAGTCTCTCCAAAATGTTGGCTTCCATCAAGTAGAATAATGGAGCTAGCATTAACCAAGAAAGAGTAGGAAGAACCAATTTTGTGGGGAAGATGAAGAGTTTGACAATGAATGTGTTAACTTTGCTTATAAGATAGCTGTATGGAAAATGTTGAGTAGGTCGTTGAATATGTAAGCCTGGAGTTCAGGGAACAGTTTCAGACAACAGGTAAAAATTTGGAAGTCATTGTGTGTGAGAATAGATAAAATTGACACAGGAAGTAGTAAAGATGGAAAAGCACCAGGCAGTCCAAGATTAAGTAGTCAAGAACATGAAGAAAACCAGCAAATAAGATTGACAATGAATTTCCAGGAGGTAAGAAAAATCCGAAAGTCAAAAGAGGGTGGTATCTTGGAAGCTAAATGAAATTTTCAATAATCAGCTGTGTAAAATGAAAAATATATGAAGATTAAGACTTGACCTTGGTGCTCCTGAAAAAATCAGGTTCAGTGCAAAGTGGGAAAGATTAAGAGAGAATGGAAGAAAATGACAGGGCAGGGCATAGAAAACTCTTTCAAGGTGTTTTCCTCAAAGAGCGGAGAAATGTGGCAGTAATTGGAAGCGAGAGTAGAGACAAAGATGTTTAGCATGGAAGAAATATAGCATTTTGATGGAAAATATTCAATTGGTAACAATAATTAGTGATTAGTGCAAGAGAGGGGGAAATTTCTAGAACACAAATGGACTGTGTGATAGGCAGACTTCCCCTCCAAAAAATTTCCACATTTTAATTCCTGGAACCCATGAATATATTTTATTACATGGCAAAAGGGCTTTGCAGATATAATTGTTATGGGATCTTAATAGAGAGATTGTCCTGGATTACTGGGTATGCTCAGTTGAACTTCATGAGCTCTTAAAAGCAGAGCTTTTTTATGTGACTGGAAGTACAAGAGAGATGTAGCAGCAGAAGAATTTAGAGAAATTTCAAGTATCAGAAATAAATACTCAACACACTTCCACTGGCTCTGAGATGTAGAACCCATGTGCTGAGATCAGAAAGAGGCCTCTGGTAGCTAAGACTCCTCCCCCCACAACCTGCTAAGAGTCAGCAAAGAAACAGGTTCTACAACTGAATTAATTTAGAACTGGATTCTTCCTTAGAGATACAAGATGCTAACATCTTGCTTTCAGCCTGAGAGACTCTAAGCAGAGTATGTATAGATCCATGAATTAATAAAGTTTGTGTCAATTTGCTACAGGAGGAATGGAAAACTGAAATAGAGGAGTTGGCTTTAGAAAGTAGCATGGATCATTCACTCACAGAAACAGCACAGGTGCTGTTAGGTGGTGCAAGTTTGGAAAAGTTCTCTGTGACGCCTAATCTTCAGTGAAATAGGAGTTATAGGTATTTTTTTTAAAGATTTATTTATTTATGCGTACAAGAACTGGGGTATAGGCCAGAGGTGTGGGGGGTGAGAGGATTCACCAGAGACAGAGTGGGGAGCAGAACAGGCAGACTGACTGAAATACACTGCTGAGAGGAGCAGGGAGCAGAACAGGCAGACAGACTGAAAGCACTGCTGAGGGAAGCAGCAGGTGTGACAGGAGAGGTCTGCTGCAACATGTGGGTTTCTCTCTGGCAGGCTGGGAATCGAACCCGTGCTGCAGAGGCTGTGGACAGCTTCACAGCGCTGCGCTCAACCTGCTGCACCACCGGGGAGGCCCGGAGTTATAGGTATTAACTAAGAGAAAAGATAGCAAAAGTGGTAGAGTTTGAGGGAAAGTGATATAAAATAGCCATCCAGGAAATTATCCAAGCAGTATACTGTAATGGCCAAGATTATTAAAGAGCTATCTGAGTTTATCTCTCTTGAGCTAAAATGATGCTAGATAGCATGTTACCTCCACAAAATCTATAAGACATCTAAATAGAAATGCCATGTAGGTACCTGGGATATAGTTGTGGAGAGCCAAGGGCAGATGAAATAGTATTGAATGGCAGCTTGGGAGATCATGAGATCTCTTAGGGAATGAGAATAGACTTGAGGTCTAAACTCTGTGATTCCGATGTCAAGATGTTGGTAAACTGAGTATGACCTAACAAAGGAGAACAAAAAGGAATAGCCACAGAAGGAGATATACCACCAATAAAGTGGTCTTTCCAAAGTCAGGGTCTACTAGTTTGTGCTACGGATTGAATTGTGTCTCTTAAATTCATGTTGAAGCCCTAACCCCCTGATGTGACTGCATCTGGAGATAGAGCTGATCAAGTGGTAATTTAGATTAAATGGAGTCATAATGGCAGGACCCTAATCAGATAGTTCTGGTGCTTTTATTAGAACACACTGTGGGAGGGCCTCCCCTGGTGGCGCAGCGGTTGAGCGCTGGCTGGGCTGGGAGGCTGCCCACAGCCTCTGCAGCGCCAGGTTCGTTCCCCGGCCACCGGCAAGGGTCCCACAAAAAAAAAAAAAAAAAAGAACACACTGTGGGGCAATATCTGGATGGGCTGGTTTAAGGCAATCTGGGTATTGGGGTGAGGTACCAATGAAAACTCATGACTTATTTCACTCCCTTGTAAACCATTATTTTAGTTTTATTCCCTGAATAATTACTTTATGCCTTTCTTTTTGAAAAACTGGTCCTTTGGTAATTTGTCATGTTCCCCATCCTGCCAAATCTTGATCTGGGAATAGCAGTGATTACCCCTCCCCCAGAAGCTGCCAACACCTGCTCTGTTTCCATGTAAAACTGGGTCTTCTGCTTCAGGTCTGAGCTTGTCCCCAGAGATTTGCTTTCTTCTGGCTGTCCGTTTTTTAAAAAATAATCTGAATTTGTACTCAGAGATTCAGCTCCTCTTAAAAAAAAAAAAATCAAAACATGCTTTCAATGTAGTGAGAACATATCCCCAGGCCAAGCCTCCTTGCTTCCAGTGGCCCTGAACAAGGAGAACAGCTGTTCTATGGGTTTCTCTTTTGCCCAAATTCCACTTAATACAGTTCTGAAACTATTAAAAACAACAACATGTGAGGATATTCCCCCAAAGTGACAGTCTACAAGCTTGGGAGAGAGCTCTCAGCAGACAACAACTTTGTTGGAGTTTTTTCTTGGTCTTCCAGTCTCCAGAAAACAAATTTCTATTGTTAAGTACCCAGACTATGATATTTTATTATTGAACATGGACCAATACAGTCAATTATGTAAATCAATTAATTCTCTTTTTCTGCTTATAGTCATTTTAGTTGACTTTCTATTTCTTATATTAGGTATTAGGAAGACTTCTAACAAATTTAATATACAGTGTCAACACTTCCTAGAGCTGTCAACCCTCCTGTCCCTAACACAAATATTTAGCACTTGCAGCTTGAGAGAACTTTAATGATGTTTATATCCAAACACACATATATGTGTATATTTATGTATGTATTTATACAAAATTATTTCCACAAAGACAGTAATATTCACCTAAAATTACTCTGCTTAAAATACTGATTTGTTTTCTGA